CACCGAAGCGGTGACCCAGCCATAGGGGATGGTAATGTACAGCATGGAGCTGGGCGCAGCCAGGATATGGACCCGCTCTGTACAGATGGGAGGGTAGGATGAGGGCTGTTTTTAAGCCACTAATCAACTTGCCCAGGGGGTCATCTGCAGGTCCTGAAGTCTTGCTCTCCCCCTGCCCCTTCCTTCGTGGGTGCTCTCAGTGTCAGTGGATTGGAGCCTGAGGGAAGCATGAAGCAGATCCAAGCCGAGCGGTGAGCCGACCGCTTTCTACTGCAGCTCGTTGGTCCCTGAGAGGTAGCAGAGAGACAGGCTTGCCACTGTTTTCCACCTGACAGCTCTTGTGACGATAAGGTTTTAGCTGGTATAATTTTCCTTTCAATATATTTTGATGTAAAGTGGCTTTTGAATTGTGGTCCTTCTGAACTGTCAGCATACAAGGCGATCTCCGGCCACAGGTCCCTGCTAATGCTGTGTGTGCAGGGGACACATCAGTGTTGTGAGTGGAGTCAGTTCTCAATGCAGTCTAAAGCCAAGTTGGATTTTAGAGGGAATAAGCCCAAATGAGCATCTGTAATGAGGGGAGCACACCTGAGAACAGGCATTTCCATGCAAGAGCAATATTTATTTTGGACTTGTGTTGTGGTAAGTGCCCTGTCAGTCTTTACTCTTGCACTGCGACCGGCGTCTCGGCTCTGCAGGATTCAGTGCCGAGACCCTGGGGGCTGCTGGCAGAGCAGGGCAGCTGTGGGAGTTGGTGCCTACATGGCACCATGTATAACTGTTGGGGAAGCGTTTGGATTGGTCCTTGTGATGCTGTGATCTCTTCTGGCTGCACCCGTTCTGTCTCCTTTGCAAGCCAACCTCATTTTAGAGCGAACTTAGTAGTGGTGAGAGAAGGTCTTGTTAAATGGGGAGTTGTGCAGTTGTTTCTTACCGCAAAACCCGGCGATGAGCTGTGTCTGACAAACAGCAGAGGGGAGCACAGCTTGCGTATAGGAGCTGCACGCAAGCTGGATCAGGGCTTCTTTGATGATGTTGGTTTCTTTTTCGCTGTCCTTGGCAATGTTCCCTGCTGTCATGCTGCTTCCCTCTCTCTGTGTTGTAGAAAAGCAGGGGAGTTGGGGGGCTTGCAGTCCTGGGACATGGTCACAGAATGACGGGGGACTCGGCCTGTCTTGTTGCTGTGCTTCAGTTCACTGTACGCACAGCTGTTCTTGCATCCCTGTCTGTATCGTTGCTCCCATCAGGATCAGTCCTGGCTTTTTACCACCCCTGTCTCTGCTCCCCTGTGCGGTCCCTTCAGATTTTAGAAGGAAACCTTCTAGCAGCAGAGTTGTGTCACCCACCTAGGTGCATTTTTCTTCTGCAGAAGGTTGGAGGGCTTGTGTTCTGCCTACTCAACCTACCTCTGGCTATTCAGGCATCCAGTTTCCTACATGACAAGAAAGATTAGAGTTATAATCATCATCTCCCCACAGTAAGAGGCAAAGGAGAAGGTTTGGACTAAGGCAGGCCCCCTTGAAATTGCCCCTTCTGGCATATGTCTGTAGATGCACAATTATCATCTCCTGCCTTGGCTACCCAGAAAGGTGTATTGGAGATCACTGGACCTTGAGTATGAGGGGGATCTGGTGGGTTTGTGATAGGTTTGGCTTGGGAAGGTGTGATACGGTGGTTCAGGTGAGGATCCAGGACCCTGGAAGGCTTTCTGTGCAGTGTTGGCAATGTGTTGTGAGCCAGGGCCGAGCAGCTTCTCTTGGCCTTCGGTGGTGCCAAAGACAACAGACTCCAGCAGCTTCTGTCCTTGATGCACTGCAAGCTTTGGTGAAATATCAGGGACCAACACAGGGTGATGGGCTTCAGGGTTGCACCTCATGCTTGAGTGAAGTCCCTGTCTCTTCTTACAGCATGGCAGGTCCCCAAGAGCCCCTGCCTCCCTGGGCAGCCTGGCAGGACCAACCTGTTGCTGACTCCTCACATAGCTGCTGCATAGGTCAGCCCTGTGTCTGCAGGAAGCAGGTTTGTCTTTAAGCCTGTAATTGAGAGTTTCAGTAACGACTTGTCTGTAAAGATCAAAAGCCGAGGAACCAGGCAGGAAAGAGCCTGTACCAGACATGGTTTGGAAGATTCAGCTTCCCTGTACACAGGTGCTGCCTCTTCTATCCGAGCAGCTCTTGCAGCTTGGTAGAGAACCTGTAGGGCTGTCTGCTTCCCCGAAAGCCCCACAGCTGGAGGGCAGCATCCTGGCTTAGCTGAGCCTGCTTTGCAAACTTACCAGCACAGAGATGACGGCAATACCCCTGCCTGCACGAGGATGTTCCCCCCTGGGTGCCAGGGCGCACGTGGTCCGTGGAGAGGGCTGCCATTTCATGTGCTGAAAGGGGCAGTTGAGGCGCATGGTGTGACTGGGCAAAGCCTTGGTGGCCACTTAGCATGTTACCAAGCAAGCAGCGGGGTGTGGAGGGCTGCTTCCATTGTGCAAGGAACAAAGCTGAGCTATTCACTAGCCTGCAACAGGCGCTGGGGATGGAAGAAATGCTACTGAGATTGAGAGTCATTTTTGCGCAGCCCTTGGAGTCCTTGCCAAGAACAGACAGATACCACATGAAGATGAGAGGTGGCGGGGCTGCCTCCCTGTGTGGTTTGCAGCCTTGATTCCTCCTTGCCGTGGCCCCATGCAGATCTTTGGACTTTCCTAGAAACAAAAGCAGCCTCTTTTCTCTCTCTCTCTCTCTCTCTCTCCCCTCCATCTGCTCATGGAAGTGAGGTCCCCAGCCTCTGAGAAGGCCTTCACAGAGCGGCTGCTTTCTCACCTGGCTGCTGTAAAGGCTAGGCTGGCCTGCTGGCTGTACCTCTCCTGCATGTTGCCCTCAGCACCTTCTTTCAGAGCCATCAGTGAGCGAAAGAGAGCCGGCGTGCAGCCTTCAGTCAGGATCAACCGTTGACCTCTACAGCCAGAACAGTGAGATCTGCCCTCAGCCCACACTGATGGCCAGCCCCTGGTCAGCGCAGAGCTGGAAGAGGCTGGTGTTGGTTTGCCTACAGCTGGAGGGAGCTGCTCAAAAAAAACCCGCAGAAAAATAGGCTATCTGTCACTGCTGTGCAGTTTGGCCAGCCTCCGCCGCAGTCAGCATTTCACCTTGCCCTGACGTGCTTCTGCCTTCAGGGAATAAAAGACCCTCCGCATCACGGATAAATGCAGATTCTCACCAGGGTCTGGCATGTCCTCTGCCTCTGCACGCCCCTCCTGGCCCCCAGCAGCGGGCAAGTCTAAAGCATAAAGCCTGGCTCAAGAGAGAGGCAGGTCAGGGGCCTGTTGCTGCGCTAGGCTAGGTGATGGGAGGTGAGGGGGCTGCTGCTCTCTCGATTGTTCTGCGCTGTGGTTGCATGGGGCTGTTTGAGAAGTGTTTCCCCCGAGCAGCTGCTGATGTTTCTGAAGCAGCTCCTTGCTCCGCATGAGTAATGGGCCTGGCTGCACGCACGCCGCGCAGCTGCAGCCTGAAAGAGTAATGCAGACGGCCTGCGGGAGCTCCAGCGGCATCCGTCCCTGGAGTGACTCTGCTCGGTCTGCAGGCTGCCCTCGTGTGCTGGCATTCAGCTCTCGTACGAACAGCAGTGCCTGGCTCTGGTCGCTGTCGCCATCGGAGGGCTAGGCACCATGTGAATGAAGCACCTCCTGCCCTGCTGACAGCAGAGAGGAGCCTGGCACCTGATCTGTTTGACCACCACGTTGTCGCTGATGGGGACGCAGCATCTGCTCCATGTCTGCATGAAGCTTGGATGGATTTTCTTGGTGTCTGAGGCTCTTATTTGGCATAAAAATAAGTGCTTTAAGCTCTCTGGTCTGGTTCACTTCAAGGGCAGCCTGTGGTGTTTCCACACATCGACTGCTCTCAGGCAGTTGGGGGAAGGTGCCAGGCAGGTCTGTCATGGATGTTTTCCCTGTGTTGTGCATCTCATTTTAACAAATAACTATGTGTTCTCACTGATGAGCAGTGAAGTTCCCTGGCCAGGCGTATGCAGCTGGTCACATCTTATTCACTCCATCGTTAAACCTCATTATTATTCCTGCTTTATAGAGAAAGTAGTGGCTTATGGGCCTGAGTAATTCAGATGTTTGCTTTGCCTCTCGTTTTCATCGATGACAGGCAGGTCTTAGTGGACGGTGCTTCATCAGCCATTTGTCCCGCTCCTCTTGTTTGACCGATACGGCAGAGCTGTTTTAGCAAGGCCAGCACAAGCACTGCTGTTAGAGTTAAACCCCATGAAACTGCTTCCAGCATTCCTGGAGTATTAGAAATAAACTGCTGAGCTCGATATTCAACTAACCAGTACAAGCATGTAACACAGGAGCAAGCAGGGCCAGGCAGGTAGGCAGGGCACAGCACACCGCTCGGGTGCCAACAGGCATGGGAAATGCACTGAGCTTGCACGGTCTCAGACTCCTACTTGCTGCAAGGATGGGTCAGAGCACTCGGGGCGACCCACAGAGCCCAGCTCTGATTCGAGCTCCAGGCCTCTGCATGCCATCAGCTCCGAGGAAACGGCAATCCCATTCCCAGCAGCTTACCAATGCCCCCTCGTCCTGTGTGGTAGTGCTGAGAATGGCCGGGCAAAGGAGGAGGGCGAGTTCCAGGTTTTACACTGAGCAGGACCACACTGAGGTGTGAATCCCTGCAGCCTTGGCAACAGCTTCCCCTGCCCGGAGAAGACAAACGTGCCCAGCAGTGTGGGTGCCCGGTGTCACAGGGACCTGACGGGGAGGTGGAGCTGGGGCAGAGCAGCCAGCACAGCTGAAGCCCTCTGTATAAGGAGCTGTTTGTTTTGCTGAATTGTTAAGCCCCATTGACAATAGCAGTCCCCCCTCCCCTCACGCTGGAGGAGCTGTGGTGACCACACACTGATCCTTTCTCTTGTCTTGCGCTTTAGGTGCCGAATTAGGGTTATTCTTCCCCGAATCCCTCTTACTGGCCGTTGCCTTTTGTTCTCGCTCTCTGCAGGCGTACGAGTGGGCCTTGGAAGGGATGCGACACCTTGCCTGCATCAGCATGGAGGACTGCAGCTCCGCCGAGCACTGTGCAGGTGTGATCAAGTGCCTGGAGAGTTACAAGGGGCAGCACCCGGACATCAGCGATGCCCGGTTCCAGGAGATGAAGGAGCTGGCCTGTGAGCTGAAAAGCGACAAGGGACTCAAGCAGTGGAAATTTGCATGGTCCAAATGCCAGGAGACCAAGCTGGTTTTTGAAAAGAAACTCGAAGCAGCCTTGAGAACAAGGAGGTCTCTGCTGTCAGACCGCAAACCGCCTGCAGGGGAGCAGCCCCAGGCTGGCGGTCTGTCCCACCGGAGGCACTCTGAGGGGGCAACCTCCGGGTCCCACTGGGACAGGACTTGCAACGCGTCCCACTGCTGCAGCAGGTCCAACCGCGCTTCGGGGTGGACTAAGGAGAAAGCTTCCTCTCCCTCCCCGAGCTGCCCTAGTGATGTCAGTGCTGGGGAAGAATTTGCCTGCCAAGCTGCTCTCAGCCCTGGTCCTCACTCGAGCAGAGTTTCCTTTGCCAGCGGGGCCTCCAAGTCTCCAAAGCTGCCTGAAGAAAAACCAAACCTGGAGAACATATTAGAAACCCTGGAGGTGAAGCCATCCTGTACCTCCACTCCAGCCTCTGGGAAGCTGCCTCCTAGGAGGATGCTCCGGAAGGCCCAAAGCTTTGACCTCCCTTGCGGTGAGAGCCTGTGGTCAGGCTGCCAGAGGACACTGAGCGAGCCGGCCAGATACGGCAACACCGGCGTCTTTATTAAAGGGCTGGAGGTGAGCAGTACTGAGCTGGTGGACAGGACTTTTGCGCTGCGGCAGCAAGCCGCTCACAGCTGGGCTGCGGACTGCCTGCTGGAAGGACAGAGGGGCTGCCTCTCCGTATCGGAAGCCAAGAGCTGGGGCAGGTAAGTGGCTATCACGCTCGGTGCTGCGGTCTCTGGGTAGTGAGAAGTCAGGCAGCCAAGATGTGAAGAGTTGTGCAGTGACAGCTACTTTCCAACGGGAATGGGGCAGATGGATGGAGAGGTAGAGCTCCAGCTTCCCTGCTCTCAGCCTGGCATGTGCCTGCGCGAGGTGGCAGAGAAACGGGATCTCTTGCTCTTCCCCCACACTGTGATTCCTTCCTAAGAGGGGAAGGGGCAGTTCCCAGGCCAGGGAGGGGGTCTCTGAGCATTGCTGGCGTTAGGGGATGAGGGTTCGCAGGGACGTAGCGCTCGGGGACCTAGCAAGCCAGTGGTAGAGGTGCAGCGGGAGAGGAAAAGCACAGTGCATCATCCCACCCCACTTTTGGGGTGGCTGTACCCAGAAAGGTGTGGGGCACTTCCAGTACCCTGTGACAGCTGCCTTACAGGTAAGAGGGTGTTTGTAGCCTTTTGAGGCTGAGATCTCTGTCTGGGTGACCTGCAGCTGGCTTTTGTTCTTTTCCTTCTCTGTCCTTGAGGATCTCAACTTTGTTGTACTGCCACGTGCCAAGGATGTGGAGAGTCCAGGGATGTGAGCTGTTCTTGTCACCAGGCAGGTCTTTCAGCTGCTCTTGCTGGAAAAGATTTTTTTTTTTTTAAGTTAAAAAAATAGTGTTAAAAGTGAGAAACTAGTGCTGGATGCAGGGGGACCACAGAGCTCCTTCACTGCTTCTGCTCCAGATGGGATGGTTGGGGACAGTGAAATCCTCTGGAAGGGGCCTCTGGTAGCCCAGCATGTGTCAGGAAAGCCCCCGGAACAGAAGCAGACAGAAGGTTAACTGATTCGCTTCTCAAGGGAGCGACGCAGCAGCCCTCCCATCCATCGGCACTGAGGCAGTCCTGCTGGTCGGTCTTCTGAACAGCCAGGAGTAGGCTTGGGGGAAAGCTGGAAGGCAGGGAAAGCAACACGTTGGAGTAGTTGTTTCTGGTGCTGCACTGCCTCACAGTGGAAACCCTGAGTAGCTAGGAGCGATCCTTTCAGAGACATGCGGAACAACCCGTGCTAGGAACTGCTGTTCGATGAAGGGAAGTGAGATTTGTTCCCTGCTCTCATTCTTGCTGGGAAGAGCCCAAACTGCACCTGGGTCCAGAACTTGCATTCTCCCCGGGTTAATGTTGCCTCCCACTGCATCCACTCATCAGGCTATCTCCTCCTCGTGGAAGTTACCGTGACTTCAGCTTTCCCTGTTGTTTCAGGAGTGCGGCTGTTTGCAGGGCAGCCTGTTGTGTTCAGAGCAGGGGCTGGGTGTACCTGGGGGTGCGTGTCCTGCTGAGGTTAGGTCAGGACCGCAGCCAGCCTGGGGCTTGCCCTTCCTGAACAGGAAAGCCGACAGTTCCTTGGGTCAGCCAGGAACTTTCAGTGCTCGAGGTCAGAGACATCACAGATGGTTGTGAATCTGAGCTTGGATGGTGCTCAGGGATCATCTCCTCTCCCCGTTGGGTTTTAGGGAGAGCTTCTCTAGGGGTAGCCCAGTGCTTTGCAGGTGCTCTTGACTGCTGCAGCGGGGCTGAGCGTTTCCTATTGCAGCAAGCTGCGGCACATCATTGATGAGATGGTAACCACGGAGCGGGAATACGTGAGGTCGCTTTGCTACATCATTGATAGCTACTTCCCCGAGATGGAGCGCCTCGACCTCCCCCAGGACCTGCGTGGGAAGCGCAGCGTCATTTTTGGGAACCTGGAGAAACTCTACGACTTCCACAGCCAGTACTTCCTGCGGGAGCTCGAGAGCTGCTGCAACCCCCCGCTGCGAGTCAGCCACTGCTTCCTCCGACACGTAAGGCGTCAGCACCTTCCCTCGGGGTCGGGCTCCTACGCCCAGCAGTGCCTACACGTTTGCCCGCTCACCTGCATGTTAGGGGGCTGTGGCTCTTTGGGAGTGGGAGGACTGCCCTGTGCCAGGTTGGATTGTCCCCTGCCAGCTCAAATGCTGGTTGGACTTGGATGGCTCGGTGTGGCTGAGCCCAGGCAGCAGCAGATGCTCTTTGCTTTTCCTGTTGCTCTTTGTTACCAAGAGACACTGCCAGGGAAGCAAAATGTCTGCTCCTTAAAGCCCATCTGCTCCTGCAGGGGCATCTCTTATCCCGTCTTCTGCCTGTGGTGTCGGTGTGGAAGGACTCCAGTGAGTGGAGGGGTACGGGCATGCTGCTCTTCTTGAAAAGGGCTGCTAGGGAGAAACGTGGGGCATCAGTGTTAAGCTCAGCTGCCCCACGCAGGTGTGCTGCTACCAGCCGAACAGTTGGGGTATGTAAGGGGTAAATGGGACAGTGGATTAAAAAGTCCTCGCTACTATAAGAGGAGGACGACAAGAATATTCCCTGGCTCTTAATGAACTCGAAGCAAAGTCATTCCTGATGCCGTAGGAGGCTCTGGTGCAGCCTGGGAGAGGCAGAAGTACTAGCAACCAGCCCCGGGCATGGCTGTCGCTGTGTCCCGGGTGTGCATTGGTCTCAGGCAGGGATCTCTTTTGCAGAAAGACCAGTTTGGGATGTATGCATTGTATAGCAAGAACAAGCCAAAGTCGGACTCGTTGCTGGCCAGCCATGGGAATACCTTCTTCAAGGTAAATTCCACTGCGTACATCACGATTGCTCTCGGTGTTCGGGTCGCTGATCTGTTTAAATGAGCCCAACTTTCCTGCCTGAGGCATGCTCAGCACTACCTTTCTGCACAAGTGTATGTGGGGGGACGGGGCAGAGGTGCTTTGGAAAGGAGCCCAGCGCACAGCAGCATTGGTCCTGTGGCCTTGCATTTCCCCGCAGGGTGAGCGGGGTACCCCAGTCAGCAAAGCTGTGGGTGTCAGGGCCTACCTGGGGGCACGGGGCTTTCCATGGGAAGCTGCTTCCCTCACTCTCTGCTATGTTTCTCAGTTTAAGCAGGTGCAGCTCGGGGATAAGATGGACCTGGCCTCCTACCTGCTGAAACCCATCCAGCGGATGAGCAAATATGCCCTGCTCCTGAAGGACCTGATCAAGGAGTGCAACGAGGCACAAGAGCAGGAGCTGGGCTACCTCCGTGCAGCTGAGGAGATGGTGAAGTTTCAGCTCCGGCACGGAAATGACCTGCTGGCCATGGATGCCATCCGCGACTGTGACGTAGGTTTCAGTGTCCTCCCCTGCCCAGAGGGGCAGAACCACGCTTCTTCCTCCTAGATGTGGGGTCTCTGGGTGGTGTGGTGATCCTCCCCTCAAACTCTTACAGCGATCGGTGTCTGCCAGCCAGCATAGTGGGACTACTGAGGCACAGGGCAAGGGAACAGCGGGGCTTGGGGGTCTCCTTGATCCTAGGACAGACAGCCTGGGTGCTGTTACTTGAGCTGGGTGAGCTGCTTGTCGTAAAGGCACTCCACGCTGCTTACTGGTGAGGTGAGGCAGCCTGGCAGCCCTTGCCAGTGGTGTCCCATAGGCTGTCTTTGAGCCCTTACACCTCTTTTGAGCTGGTGATAAGAGAGTCAGGCAGTTTGCAAGAAGGAATTCGAACTGATGCTGATGCCAGGCGTAGGCTAAAATCAGCTAGGTGTGACTTGAAGGAGAGGCAGGCAAAGTGCAGCACTGGAAGAGGAGAAACCACAGGGCTCAGGGTGGAGGAAGATGGATCTGGGACAGGAAGAACTGAGGGACAGAGATACTCCTGGCAGTTTGATGGCACTCTCTTCCTCTTTTCCCCCTGAGAGCGCGCTCTTGGGGGGGCAGCTGGAGGCAGCAGCCAGAGGTTTGTCACAGGTCTGCACAGAGTGACAGCAGAGGGTCACCTGTGGGCTATGCCTAGGAGAGAGGTGCAGCTCTCCCCTGAGCTGTGGGCCAGCAGCAGCCCGACCTCTTTGAGCCCTCCTAATGTGATGGGTAGCTACCATTTCTTCCCCACCCGGGCCAGAGCCATATGGGACCCTGCTCTCCCTGTCCAGGCCTGGAGCTGATCCTGCCGGGGTCTCACCAGGATGTTCCCTGTGTCCAGGTGAACCTGAAGGAGCAGGGGCAGCTGGTGCGGCAGGACGAGTTCACCATCTGGCTGGGCCGTAGGAAGTGCCAGCGACACGTCTTCCTCTTTGAGGACCTGATCCTGTTCAGCAAGCCCAAGAGGATCGAGGGCGGCTTTGATGTGTACATCTACAAGCGCTCCTTCAAGGTGAGGGCAGCCCTGCAGCTCTCTTGTGCAGGAGGTATCTGTGGCTGGTTTCCCCATGGACTGGCGCTGAAATGGGGAGCAGGAACAGCACCTTCAAGAGCTGTGCTGCTCCCCCCACTGCTATGCTTTCTCCAGGCCATGCAGCGAAGCCCAAAGGGAATACTTCACACCTTAATGCCTGGGTCCCCTCTGTGCTGTGAGGTGTGGGACCGAGGTCTTCTGAGGGGCAGGGAGCATGAGGGAAAGGCAGTGTGTGTGTGGCAGGGAGGTGGTGCTGCCTCTGGATGAAGCACTGGGAATTGCCTGGGCTGTCTCTGCTCAGCTGTGTCCAGACCTTACCTGCTCCTGTCACCCTCAGGCTCCTTCCCGCTGGGTCTGCCGAGCTGGGGGTGCGCAGGGTGCAGGCAGAGTTTACCCTTTCTGGTCCTGGTGGAGCCCCAGTTGATGCTTTGCTCTTCCTTTTTCCGGCAGACTGCAGACATCGGTCTGACGGAGAACTCTGGAGACAGTGGCCTGCGCTTTGAGATCTGGTTCCGAAGGCGGAAGTCCAGCGACACCTACATCCTCCAGGCCAGCTCAGCCGAGACTAAGCAGGCCTGGACCAGTGACATTGCCAAGATCCTGTGGCAGCAGGCAGCCCGCAATAAAGGTGTGATTCCTTCCCGGGGCGTCTGCGCCGCGAAAGGTGCGGGAGCCCTGTTCAGCTCGTGCTGTCCTGAGTAGGTTTGGAGCCTGTTGCCAGGCAGCTCTGTGCAGCAAGCAGCTGTGTGCCAGCATGCAGCCTCTGGAGCATGTGCTGGGCTTGGCTGGGCATGTCCCTTCCCTGCCCCTCGTCTCCTTGGACCAGTCCAAGCTCTGTGTGACTGTAGATGCCCACCTGGACTCCGTGAGAGAAACGGGAGATACTAGCACAGGGTTCCCTGCCCTGGGAGTGTGGGCTGTGCTCCTGAAAAGCTCGCTGCCCTCTGGCTGGGTCCTTCCGCTCTGCCCCAGGCTTATAGAATCATTAAGGTTGGAAAAGACCTTTAAGATCATAAAGTCCAACCGTCAACCCAAAGCTTCGCGCTTGGCAGGACTCTCACAGGTGGGGTGGCACTGAGCTGCTTGGCCGGAGCAGGGCACAATTGCTTGTCTGTGGAGACTCCTCAGAACTGGGGAGCAAGGGGAGAACACATCTAACATCAAGTAGCGCAAGAGCAGCCCGGTGCCCATGGGAGCAACCTCATGATGCGGCTGTGGGTCTCTTCCTCTCCAGAAATCCGTATGCAGGAGATGGTCTCCATGGGTGTGGGCAACAAGCCGTTCCTGGATATCAAACCCAGCGAGGCAGCTATCAATGACCGTGCCATCGATTACATCATGAAAGGCAGAGGTCAGTGCCAGCCGTGCCTGTCCCCTTGCTCTGTGGGAGCTAGGCGGCTCTGGTGCTCAGGGCTTTTTTGGTATGTTTTCTGGCAGGTGCCAGGACCAGAGCATCAATCGCGGTGTCTCTGTTTGACCATTCCAACCCCTACAAGAGGACGCAGATGCAGCTCTCCACTGGCAGCACCCCTGTTGCATATGGCCCTTCCTCCTCCTCCTCCTCCTCCTCCCTGCTGGGCCCCCTCAACCTCCACATGTACCTGGACCAGGCTCTGCTGCCAGGTGTCCTGGCTCCCCGCCGCCCCTTTGACATTGGCACCTGCATCGAGGAAGATGAGCTGGAGCACGAGACGAGCAGCCAGCCGTCACTGAGTACGTACCGGCCCGCTGCTCCACGAAGCGCCCCGGGATGCGTGGGCTCTTCCCCCCACCTTGTTCCCCTGGGGTCACGGCAGTCCCTGCCCCATAGCCAAACTGGGGCAAGGAGGGGCCTGCCCTTCTGCGCCAGCTTTGTCTCGGCGTTCACGGGAGGAGTTAGCCTATGCCTGCCCCTCTGGTACGAGACACTCTGTTCCCTTGCTCTCGCCAGAGCCTTTGGCTTCCCCTGCGTCAGCTTCCCTGGCTGGTCTGTACCAATCTCCAGCGTCGTTTGCTACCCTTCCTTGGGTTATTTTTTGCCTATGGCTTTAGAGAGGCGTGTGGCTCACCAGCAGGCTTGGGTGGCCAGTGCCTCTGCACACAGATCCATTATCGAGTGTATGTGGGCGTAGGTCCCGTAGGCCAAATTCATGGCCATCAGCATGACCTTCCTCCTCTTCCCCCAGCAACAGAGAGCTCGGAGTCATCGCACTGCATGTCAGGCAGCGGCTCCAGCGGCTCCGACAGTGGCTGCGTCTCCAGCATCCCACAAGAAAGCTTCTGTGAAGACGTGGGCTCTCCCCACTACATGCCCCTAGGCTCACAACACAGCTCTGCGATGGAGGAGAAACCCAGGTTCGCAAACAGCCAGTACATTTCTGCAGTAAGTCCAAGCAGCCAAAATACTCTCTTCACTTTGCCCGTTCCTACCACTGCCTCTCACGGGGGGACCGAAGATGCTGCTTTCGGGCTAGGAGTCACTGTGGGGAAGTGACCTTTCCTCTTGCAGAGACTCCCCTCCTCTGGGCCGGGCGAAAGCCCCTCCGTTGCCAGACGCACTGGAAAAAGGACCTGTGGGGCTGGAGGCTACGCCAGGAGGGGCTGCTGCACCCACAGCAGCTGTACTGCTGTCCTGGGCTGGGTACATACCTGACCTCCCGGGATGGATGGAGCTCTGCTGCAGGTGCTGCTCAGCTCCTTTCCTGGGAGGTTCGGGCCTTTTTTGGGGAGCGATGAGACAGAGGAGCCAGGAGCCTGTCACTCTGAGATGTCAGTGTGTCCCCTCTTACGTTCCTGAGAGTTCTTAGCTGCTTCCGTTCCCTCTAGTTTGTGTCCTGATGCTGTTGTCCTCTAACCCTGTACTAATGCTGGCTTCTCTCCTCTGCAGAAAGCAGGCCAGGTCACCATAAGTCCCTCAACAATAGTGTGAGCCCCTCTGCACACGTATACCACCCAAGGAAGTGGAGTTGTTGTAAGTAGCCCCTGAAGGGGATTTTCCAGCAGGTCTGAGTGCTGGTCAGGTTTGTCAGGAGAACCTCACCCTCTGCTTCTCGAGGAGAAGCTTTCCACATGTGTTCCTGACTGGTCTCTGAGGTTCTGAGGCTGGAGAAGATGATAAAGATGTTATCTTAAAGATAACCAGCTCCCAGCACTGTAAACAGCCGGTCTGATGCCTCCCTGGTTTGAAGGAGCAGAAGCAAAACAAGCAAAAATCACTTTCAGGTAGTTGAGGCTTGAGCACCACCTGGTCAGCTGTGTTCAGATGAGCTGCCCGGCTGTCTAACCACTAATCTGTTTCTTGTGGCTGTTTATCGAAGTCCTGCTCTTTGTTAGTCCCTCTGAACTGCCTCGGGGAAATCCACGCTATTCTCCCCAAGATAAGATGGATTTATCCCACAGTTTCTTTTGAAAGTTCAAAGGAAATGCATCAAACTGTGATGGGTTGGGATGGCCTGATGCTGGAGGATGCCTTGTCCGTGAGGAAATTGCTGTTGATGGGAGGAGCGATGAGCTCTGGCAAGTCAGGCAGCCACACGGGGCTCCGTACGCCTGGGGGGCAGCTCTTGGGAAGTCACATCACATCAAAACTCTCCTGCTTCTGCCTCGGCTTTTATCCTCTCCCTGCAGGGAGCAGAGGGGCCTGAACGGGAGGAGGTCAAGGTGCATAGGGTGGTACATGGCTCATAGGCTTGGCCCTGGCTTGCCAGCTGCAGGTGTTCACAACAGGTTAGAATTTAAGATCCAGAGCCCCTTCTGGGGTGGCCACAGACAAGGCCTTTGAAGTAGCGGGGGTTGCTGGCCTTTGGGGGAGTCCTGGCAGCAGAGGCAGCCCTGTGGGGGAAGAGCCACACTTCTCCTGTGAGGCTCTTCGGGTAAAATGTTCTTTTCCCCACCCAAATGCAGCTCTGACAAACTGTGGTTTTTCAAGCATTTTGCAAAATCCCTGCTGGCCAGGACAGGGATCCTGCGGTGGCACGGGGGCCGGTCTAACCCCCTGCCCGGTGCTGTGTTCCAGGTTTGATTGCCATTTCAAACTCACCGAAGAGCCCAGGCCTCTGACCAGCAGGAGGAGACAGTCTTCACCCGTGAAGATACTTTATTTTTTACCCATAATCAGGCTCTTTCAAACAGTCCAAAACCTGACCTCTGGCTGGGGGGAAGCCCCGAGAAGGTTTCTGTCAACTACACATAACAGCTTTGGTGTTGGATGGGACCTTGGGCATTCAAAACTTGTTAGCCCTATATTTATAATAAGTAACATAGCAGTTTGAAGAATAATAATTAAAGTATTATTTTTAAAGCTATGAGCTGTACAGATTTTTGTTACAAGTGACTCTGTTACTATTTGTTCTGTAAGCTGCACATTTTATAAAGTTTTGGAAGGGTATGAAGAGAAACTGAGGTATTTAAGTAGTGTAACTTTCTGTTTCAGGGTTATATGGACCTGGAACTCAAGATTTAACGTCCTTCCTTATGTTCTAAATATGTCTATCATAGCAATAATTTATTTCCTTGGCTTAACACTTCTGTTTGTTTTAATAAAAGCAATTTCATTGTTACAGTGAACTGTTTCTTCAGCTGATTCTTCCAGGGCCTCAGTGCTGAGCTTATCTGTGTTTTAACCCTGCCTGTCAGCTCTGGCCGGCTCCCCGTGCCATTTCTGCAGTTGGTTTGAGGAGCTTTGGGTGGTGGCAGCCAAGAGCAATGTTTTTTGAGTGTAATGGGTTGATGATAAGGCTGAACCTTAAGCACATGTTGTCTGAAGTAGCACAGTGTCACTGGAGGACAACTGTGCCCTGTGGGGCTGGGACACCCTCTCACTGCTCTAAGAGGAAATAAAAATTAGCCTTTTTGGAAATCTGTGCTTACTTGCTGTTTACTCCTGGTTTATGGAGTGTGTCCCATTAAGCCTGAGGAATAAGATGGAGCAGTAACTCATTTATCCATAGCTGTGGTCCTGGCTGTTAAACCTCACAGCGACCCGACTTACCCCCAACATACGGACCATGGTCCTTCAAGTCTGGAAATTCCTGTACTGTACATAAAAACTCTTGTTCATTTTTCATAAGCTGGATTTTTTTTAAACCTTGTTCTGTTTTTTTAGACAAAGAACAGTTTGACACCTTTGTACAAATTGTGTGGGAAACAAGTGCACAGGGAGTATTTTAGAAGTTACTATTTTAAAATAATTGCTGAGTTAATGCAAGATTTTGAGGGCTGTCAAGACAGCACTAGCTCATGTCACCAGGGGGGGAAAATGTACTAACCCAAGAGGAACATGACCCTTCCTGAAATTTCTGGTTCAAAGGTTTCTACATTGCTGGAAAAACCTTTAGTAATGTTTACCTGCCACTGTTTTTTCAGGGTTTCATTGATTTGTCTAATAAAGGTTATTTTCTTTACATCAATCTTGTTTGCATTGTGTCTTGATTCCAGCATGGGATCCTGGGCTGCAGGAGAGAAAAGAGAAGAGGAGCAGTTTTCCCCTGAGGCATCTAAATACTGCAGGGAGATTGAAATGATGGAGTTTTTTTAAAATCAGGTGTGTGACTCAGCCCGATGGGAAGCATCAGCTCTGTTCTTCTCCCCAGAGCTGCAGAGGTTTTAAAACAGGAGTGGCAAAGTCTGTACAATGTACTTAAAATTAGTCAATAGTATCATCTGCCCCATAAAAGATTAATTACTGTTAAGTAAACCCCATGTGTCACTACTAAGGAAGAGACATCTCCATTACCTGAAGCAGGCAGCTGGTACAATGATTCCTGGCTAAACAAAGTCACTGTTAAAGCCAAGCAAAAAGGCTTTTCTTACAGGGGCAGATATAATAACATAAACAAATTTTAAAATAAAAATAATAAAAAACCCATTTCAAAAAGTAGCTGGGTCAAATTTTTATCAACAGCCTGCAAACTTACTTACATTTCCAAGACAAACTACGCGACCCATCTAGCAAACCCTCTGCGGATCAGCGAGCCCAGGCAGTGGCTGTGGGGCGAACTGCAAAAGCCACTGTTACATCACCCACCGACTGCAGGACAGAGGCATCGCTGCCTCTTTCTATTTATTAACGACCCTGCAAGTCTTCTGCCTGCTTTTTTTGTGGGCAGTCACCTAAATTAGCAGCACAATTTTAAGTTTATTATTAAGGCTACATGTGACATTAGTCAATCTGTGCTGCAAAATGTCCCCCACGCATTTAAGTCGCTCTGCAAACAAAACTGGGAACAGTGAAGGATTCAGAGAAAGCCAGCAGCACTTGGAAGAGAGAAGGCTCAGCCACACCTCAGCGCCTGGTGGCAAACGCTACTTACTTCCACCCACTGAAGTGGCTTTTCCTGAACATTTCTGTCCCTTCTAGAATACTCCGTGTTCAGTAAATTGGCAACAAACTCCCTGGGCATGATGCACTGCATCTAAAATACCAAGCACAACGTGGTCACGCCAACAGCTGGGTGTGCTGATGCGTGCCCAGAAAGCACCATGCCCTTGTTAGCGGAATTAACCCTTGGGCAGGGTTAATTATTAGTAAAGTTAACAAGGATTGGTGTGAGGTAGCAGGGCTGGAATGGGTCTCGTGCATACTAGTGGAGGAAAATGTGAGGGCAAGCTCCCCACTGGTATCTTGCTTTCCCTTCAAATCTTTTATATTGCTCTATGTATTACTATAGCATTTACTCAAATCCACAGCTGTACATGAGGACACCTAAAAATACGGTAAAATGTTATTTCTAATTGATCTGGAATGAAGCATAACTGTTGCCTTTCCTAATAGCTGAAGTATTTTACTCATAATACAAGCATTTAAGGACCGAGTTCTTAATCCTGGAAAATGCATTCTCACTTTCGCGGGGCATACAGTGCTTTAAGACGCTCTAAACCCTGCCCCGATAACTCAGCGCTGATGTTAACGCTGTCCTGAATCACCTCAAATCCTATCAGCGGGTTTTGTTAAACCTGAAGCTGGACGCTGGAGTGGCCAGGGCACACAAGCAGCACCTCAACATCCCTGCTACCGCTACAACAAAGATAATCTTGATTATCCCAACTGACAGCAGCATATTCTGTACAAGAAGGATTGTCTGACAAGTTAAAGCAAGCTGTGCAACCACTCTACTGCACAAACGCCAGCGTTAAGCTACAGGGTGGAACAGTTTGATCTTGGCAGGTAAATGCTACAGAGGCAGCCCCTGACTTCTGCCTTTCTCCAGGAGGCTGAAGGCAACTTCCAGCTACTGGTGTCCAACCAAGGGCCAAAAGTATTCAAAGACTTGAGCAGAAAGTCCTTTTTCCCTTTCCACTGACTTCAAAGACAGAGTTTCTGCAGGCTCCTATCTTGCCTCTGCACTACTTAAGTTTGCTGCCGCTACCATCTTTACCAAGTATCTTTACTTGGGAACCAGGAGATTTGGCTTCTAGGTCCTCCTTGCCCAGAGGGGCAGAACCCGTATCTCCTGTGACCCAGCAAAGCACCCCAGTTCCCAAGTCACACTGAAATCTGTGTGAAAACACTTCCCACCCCTGGGGACAGGGGCTCTCTACGTAACCAGGAGTGCCACCCGCAAGACCAAAAGGAGAATCTAAAAGAGTGTAGGCTTGGGGGGTTTAGACCAAGTTAACACAGACCAGAGGATCTTGACTTCACAGCATACAGTCATTGGATAAAAACAGAATAAAATCCCAGCACTCAGGATACTCCTTACTTCTTTTGGGTCTTTGCTGAACTCAAGCTCCTTATTCCAAGACATGATACTTAATCTTCTACACGGACAATAAACTTCATTGCGGAATTCATTGCTTTGGATCCATAACGTGGAAAATTTTTACAATTATTATAGAACTTTTTCCACTGGTCAACCTGTAAAAGGAGCTTCCAGTCACCAACAGATCTGTGTAAATCACATTGTTTTATGAGTTACTTTTAAACTACTG